CTTTAAAACACTCTTTCATTTCAGGTACATGTGAGGCTTCATTTCAGGTACATGTGAGGCTAAGCCAAGCAGCTGTATGAAAACTGTTGCCACTGAGGACAAACCACAGCAGTGCAACTTTACGCTGAAATAAAGGCTAATAGCTGAAATGCCCAAATCTCCCTGAGAGTGTCACTATTTCACAGATTATCCTTTAAACAATTTTTTGCTTCCCAAAATGTGTGTAACCCTTTCAGGACTATGTGGTTTATTCAAACAGGGCTAACCAAAGGCTAGTGGTTTAGTAAAGAAAAGAAGCAGATGTGTCACTGTGTGCTCTGTCTGTAACGAATGCATTTCATTTCCACCCTGCAGACGTCCTCCTCTGTTTACATAAATGGACAGTTTAGTTCTGAGATCATCTGCTGGTACCTAAGTCAAACAGCAGAAACATTACGTTCTACAACACATGGTTGGTCAGGTTCATCAATCCCACAGTGTTTCCTAAGAGGAAGCAATGATGGAAACCAGGAAAGCAAATAAGAAAGCTGCTCTTCTCTCCCTCTCTCTTCCTGTCCTTCTCTCCCTTTGTCTCTCCCTCTTCCTGTTCCTCTCTCATTGTCTCTCCCTCCTTCTGTCCCTCTCTCTCTCCCACTTCCGGTCCTTCTCTCCCTCTGTCTCTCCCTCTTCCAGTCCTCCTCTCATTGTCTCTCCCTCTTCCTCTCACTGTCTCTCCCTCTTCCACTTTCACTCTCTCCCTGTTTTTCCTTCTTCTTTCTCTCTCTCTTCCTGTCCCCTTCTTCCTCAGGCACCTACCCCATGCATACATGCCTCCCCACCAGCCTTTGGGAGGCCCCGCCCACCTGAATACATCTCAAAGCTGATAATCGGATGACAGCGACTTAAACTGACTCCAAGGGATCTTCAGTGTGGGCAGCAGAAGGTCAAGCAGCAGGTAGAGCATAAAGGAGGGGGTGTGGTCATACAGGGGAGGGGGGGGTAGGCAGCTTCCTATGAGAGGAAAGAGACAACTTCAACCCTGAGGCAAAGACGGAACCCCGAGCGAGACGAAAGACAAGGACAAGCGAAGGAGACACAGATCCAGCACCGGACTTGGCAGGTAGTGCTGGCACACGGGTAAGGTGAGACGGGTGAGCATGGCACGGTGAGGGTAAGGTGAGACGGGTGAGCATGGCACGGTGAGGGTAAGGT